AGTACATTAAATAATCGACTAAGTTTGGTGAACTAAACAATTTAAGTCAAGTCTACATAAGCACCAAGTTAAGTACACTTAAATATGCACGTTTTGGGAGACCCCATTACTCAATTAAATTGAGGGAACGAGTTTACTCAAATCAATTGAGTTCAATCAACTTATTAGATTTTTTCAGTGTTAACTTTCAGAACTTGTACAAATGACGCTCAATCATCACTCAATTAATCACTTAATTATCTCATTAACTTTAACACTGGTTCAGTGTTACTTATAACACTCTTGAGTGTGGACTCATATAAACACTGAGCAATGTAAATTTAACACTGGGGATGTACTGTATTATGGGTATTAAAGTTTATTTATCAAGTTTAAAGTATCAGATTTAAAAACAAAAATCAGTTTATTTCCATTACGATCAATAATTGTAATATAATGAAAGCCATTTGTTTTCTGGTAAAATAAGAATGACACCTTGCACTTGAAGAAAGCATGTATGAATGTATTCATTTCACAGTCAAGAAAACAACATCTGTGAAAATGACCTTTTGTAAGGATTAATCATGATTTTGAGCTCATAGCACTTGAAATCTTAAGTTTATGTATTTTGAAGGTAAATAAGTTATTTGAACTTATATTTTTGAGTGACAGGGCCAAAATGCTAAATTTAAAGTAATGTTTAGTCAAGTACACTTGATTGTTTAAGTAAAGACAGCATTAGGGTTTACAGTGCAGGTTTCAAAATGCAAGTTTTTGAAAACGAAAGGCCTACTCTTGTCTCCGTGTAAATTACAAAAACACATTTTTGTGAATTTGTGAAAACGCTGGCATCATGTACATGCTTATTACGTTATGTTCAGGTGCGTAGTTTTTCTAAGTGTGGAAGTTTGTCACTTAACAAAGTGGCATCGCCAACTAGGCCTACTACACTGACGGCATAATACAGCGCTTTTAGTTTTTCACGGATCTGTGTGAGCTGTCATTGTCATCTGTAGGCTACGCAAAAAAAAAGGAAAAACTTATCTGTTTTTAGTCTAAAGCTACACAGTTTAATTAGCTTTTGATTGTTCCCAGGTGTGTCTTGTAAACTTGGTACCCTCTGTGTATTAAATTCCCATGTTTCCTGTGTTAATTGTGAAGTCTTTCCAAGTTGTTACGTTGAGGTTTTCGGTTTTCCCGTGTCTTGTTTTCCTGCTTCAGTCATTTGTATTTTTGTTATTTCTTTAATAAACCTTCTCTGCAACTGGATCCTATTTCCCTTGCTTCTGAGTTTTACCCAACGTTACAAGTATAAAATGCACAGCTATCATCCTAAGCCATGCTGGCTCTGATATGAGCTGCTTTTATAATCACAAACATGCATGCACAGACACGCAACAGCTGTCATTCACATTCCTTCTGCACCCTCTTTATTTACTGGCTCGGTAATATTTTCCAAACTTACTGTTTCTATGGCAAGCCATTGTCCAACAGAAGATAATAACAGAAAACCAGGAATGTTCACACCTGATTCTTGGATTTAACTGATGGCAATTAATACTCACCTGTTATAAAACATGATGTGTTGCAATATATAAAACCTTAGTGTACAATAAAAGTGTTAGTGATTGGAAGATGAAAGTGGACAGGCCTTCTCAATATGTCGTACATTGCATTATTTAGCTTCAGTTTCAGATTAAAATGTACAATGTAATCAAGCAAAAATAAATAAATAATAATTTGAAACCAAAAAGAACATCAGACATGTTCACACAGACATAGATGAGTTATTTCAATTACCTAGTGAATCAGTTATTTCCTTTGACGATTTGCCCATTTATGTGTGAATGTGTACAAGTGGGTTGTATGTGTCTGCTGTGTTGCCATGGATATCTATCTATCTTTCTAATAACTCGCACCTGCAGTCAATAATTTAACATTAGTCGAAATCATGTGTAAATCAGTGTAAATATGCTTGTTGCTGTTTCACCTGTTTCTCAACTTTTTGTTATGAGTTATGTTAGATGCCTTAAATGGTTTATCCTGATTCTAACAGTAGTTTAAAGTTTATTTTAAAAATGCTGTGCTAAATTCTTTACTTTTTAGTATTAAAAATGAATCAATTATTGTTTATAAAATATATTTAAATGGATAGTTTGTTGTGTTATTTTGATTTTGATTATTTTGAAAATCTATTTATGTATCTATCTATCTATCTATCTATCTATCTATCTATCTATCTATCTATCTATCTATCTATCTATCTATCTATCTATCTATCTATCTATCTATCTATCTATCTATCTATCTATCTATCTATCTATCTATCTATCTATCTATCTATCTATCTTTTAGCAATAAAATTATCCTAAAGCAGTGGTTCTTCACCTCGGGGGCCATACAGAGCCCATAAGGGCCCTCAAAACAACAACGCGCACAAACAATGAATTGTGTTTTAAACGGTCTTTCATCACAAAACCAAAATATGTTGGAGCTCGGAGGAGAATAAACCACAACACAAATCAAAGACAAGAACCTAAGTGAGTTTACGTCTCACAATTCTGACTTTTTTTCATCAGATTATGATGATTTTTTTTTTCAGTGGCGGAAACAAGCTTCCTAGAGTTTTTTGCTTTAGTTTGAGCTTTATATAAATTGTATGTAGATGTTGAGAGTTTATAATCACTGTCTGAATTTGACCAGAAGTGCACGTTCCTCACAACAGGAGTTTCCATTCTTCCATTCAAGTCCTTCCATTCAGTCTGGACTGAACATCAATTTTGAATGATCTCATTCAATCAAACAAACACGCTGGAGACAACACTGCAATAAATGGCAACTTGCAGTTGTCCCCTTTCTAACACATACTCATTTTTTTGTATAAATGCATTTAGGTTGATTCAGTGATGTTAAATAATATTTTGCCTTGAATAAAATGAGTTAATTTAGATGTTACCATTTTAGGTTACTATTTTTTCAGTGTAGTTGCTAAGCCAAGTCCTGAGCTAAGTTCTGTCTGTAAGAATCGGGGCTGGTCAACGCTACACAATTCTTTGCCAACTTTTCTTTTCTAACCAGTCAGTTTCCAGCTCTTTCCTGATTCTCATACGTGTCCTGCATGTGGGTTTCGTAACCTGAATTGCATCAGCGATTTGTAACCCCAGCTGATGTTGTATAAATCCATGCCTTTGTGAATTTAGTCTTCCTTTCCCTAACATCCATTTCACATTCCACTGTCACTTAGGTAATTTGGCTCACCACACCAGTGATAAATTTTTCAGCAGGTTTTGTTTGGCATGCTGGTGCTTGCAGAGCCTTTCCTGAAAGTTCCCAGTACCACCCAAAGAATTGTCTCAACACAATGAAGCCTAGTTTCTCTAATTCATTTCTTTGATTTAGAACATTTCATTCTTTTTAGTTTATGGTGGGTGCAGTGCAATTAACTTTTTTTCTTGCCTGTGCTGATGATATGTTTCTTCCTGAGCCTTTGCTTCTTTCAAGCACAATAATGTAAGTTTCACCCTTTAATTTCCCTAACCTCAAATTATCCCTCATAAATGAGAAGCCATGAAGAAATGTAATATTCAATATTCTATTATGTTTCAACTACCCTCAACCACTGTATTGTTCCACACTTCCCTTTATCTACGTCTTAAAAATAAATCTTTCCTCTTCACACAGAACCTGCGGTCTTCTGCATTTGAACTTTGCTTGTCGTCTGGGAAAAGTAAACTCTCTTAGTTTTCTAATCAATTTTTTTCTTCCAGTTTAAGGCAACAAACCCCTTTCCCAGAAGAGCATGCAACATTTTCCTGCCCTACGAGCGCATTCCCGCACGTCACCATGTGCAGTTTTCTGTGTGTTGTTCCAGCTTGATTGTTATGGAGCTTGACAGTGTATGTTGGCTCTGGTCAATATGGTGGTGTTATTTTGTCTGGGTTCATTGCAGTCAGTATTCATCACATCATGCACAAGTTGGATCTGCTGAAGAGAATCACTGATTCACTGTGGGCTTTTTTTTTTTTTTTATGCAGCCTCATTTTTGGCAAACATACTGCTTTGCAAGTTCAGAGAGTTCAGCAGTTTCCCTTGAAAGACTTTTAGTAAAAGTAATGTAAGAAAAGATTTAGCAATTACAGCAATTACAGGGCCAAGCACAGTGGATGAAACGTCATAACTTTAGCACAATCCAATGAATTCAGAGAACAGTAGAACAATTGTTTTAGGATAATATATTCTGTACTCCTCAGAATACCCATATAAGACTCAAGTATCCATCCAATACATTTTGTGTGGACTTTTTTTTTAAGATTGGACAAAGATAAAATTTGCTGGACATTTTTAAATACACTATTGTTCAAAAGTTTGGGTCAGTATGATGTTTTTGGATACAGAAAATTGTGAAATTAATAATAGCTGTTTTCTATATTCAAAATGTAATTTATCCATGTGATGGTAAAGCTGTATTTTCAGCATCATTACTCCAGTCTTCAGTGTCACATGTTCCTCAGAAAGCATTCTAATATGCTGATTTACTGCTCAAGAAACATAATATTATTATCAATGTTGAAAACAGTTGTGCTGCTTAATATTTTGTTGACACTGATGCATTTTTTGTATTTTTTACTGTTCGGATTAATAGAAAGTTCACAATAGCATTTATTTGAAATAGATTTTTTTTTTATAAAACTACAAATGTCACTAAAAGTATAAAAATAATATTTTCTTGAAAATTGGACCCCAAAAGTATAAGACTTCAAGAAAATATATATATTTTTGTTTTTGTTATTTTGTTTTAGTTTGGTCTGGTTTGAAAGGCAGTGTATATATTTCTATGCATATGTGTATAAATAAAATGTTCATTGTGCAAGTAAGAATAATTGCCAAAAAAGGGACAAAAAACATATTAACACTTTTTTTTTTATTCAAGAAATGGCCAATACTGTCAACCGTTTACTGCCATTTGAAATGTGGATGCTCAAATAAATAAAAAAAAACCTCTACGTTTAACATTTCATGTAAAAAATCCACACTTGTAACACAAAAGCATATGAGAACACCACCTCGTGATATCTTTTTTCAAGTATGTGTAAAAATAACATTACAACGCTTGTAGCATGTCAATAACAATACGAAAAATCAGCAATAAATACATCATTGAAATAAATTATTAATATAAATAAATTAACAAATAAATATCAATTTAAAATATAACATCATGTATCATGGTGAAAGTAATGAGACCTTCAAAATCTTTAAAGCTCTGAACTCCGCTCGTTCAAGACAATCGTTGGATTAATATTATTTTCTGTGGAGTGCACTGAGCTTGAATTCACCTTTTCAGAACTCTGAAATTTCACATCAGGCACCTGAAAGGACACCATCGGACAGGGTCCATTGATATTCAAGCACACCAGCTTCTTGAGTGAGGCTGTGTTAACAATGTCAAATCCAACTTTCCCACCAAATGTGCTGGGCATCCAGTATTCAGGAGAACAAATAGCATTTCCCATGAGGCCTTTGAGAGAGTAGGGGGCTCCCATCTCCACAATCGTCTCCCCAAATACAGCGTTGGGTCTGGGTTTCTCCACAAGAAGGCCAGGATACAGCTCAACCGCATCTATGTGACCGTACAGCTTCTTCAGTTCGTCTGCCAGCTCCTTGTCTCCTGTTTTACCATACAAAAAAGTTACAGTTAAATAAGAGGTGTATTTTTCCTAATATTCTCATTTCTAAATCTTTATAAAAAGAATTGTTTTTCCATTTTTGCCATATTTTCGGCCTGTTCACACTAAGAACTATAACTATGATTGGCTGTCAATGTTTTTATTGTTCATCAACTGGAAAAAATCGTTCTGAGAGTGATTCCAACAATATAGTTCTTCTGTGTCATTATCATTATAGTTGTAGTGTGGACTTCCGTATTCTCGTAGAATTGGAATGATTATTAAAACTTTTTAGTTACAGTTATCCTCTTTAATGTGAACGGGCCTTTAGGATTGACACCAGTGATGTTCACGGTTTGTCTTACCCGTCATCTCCTCAAAGGACGAGTAGGGCTTCATGTTGAAGCGTTTCCTGTAGGCATTGAAAGACTGGTAGCGCATCTGTCTTGAATGCTCCAGAGCTTTAACAGCAACTCCCTGAACTGAAGCCGGCAGGTTGCGTCCACCAGCTACCTGTTCACGAAAACATGAGATAAATTAACAAAGACAGTAAAGTGAAGACAAAGAGATTTATGCACACTCATGTCGTTCTGACTATTTTCTTCGGCAGAACACAAAAGACGATATTCTGAATAACTTTTTGTGTCCATACTATGAAAGTCAATGGGGTCCAAATCAACATTGAACCTCACTCACTTTCATTGTATGAAGTAAATAACATTAAAATGTTACAAAATATCTTCTTTTGTGTTCCACAAAAGAAAGAAAGTTATGCAGGTTTTGAACAACATTAGGCTTCTCTGAGAATCTTTCTATCTATAAGTGTAACTCACCCTTCCAGCCGTCTGTTTGGTGAAAGACTCCACCAAGTTTCGGATGCCGTGTTCGGTCACTATAGAGTTGTTAAACACAAACTGGTGGTGGCCGTAGACCTGATCCTGGATCTGAAAGTTGTCGGGCATCAGCGGGTGCCAGTGATACAGAGTGTTGAATTCGGAAGCAATGCGGTTCTGGTACTGGAAGCGTTGATTGAAGAGAAGCTCTGGGTCAAACTTGAGCTTGAAGTTGTAGCCACTCAAATGCTGAACGTAGTCCTCAATCACGATTTTGATGGTCTCACCTGGAAGAAAATAATTAAGGAAATATTTAATCTCTCCACAAAAATCGTGAAGATTAGGAATGTTTTAGATGGTGCAACCTTGACTCACCAATCAGGATGAGACGAGTGGTTTGGAAGATTCTTTCGTCATCCCAGTCGGGATGCTCTTGCTTCATGATAACACATACACGGTTGTGTTCACGGAGCCAAATGGTTGCATACATCATCAAACCTGGAACCAGACCGAAGGCCTCATGACCCACAGCAAATTTATGTTCCTCCGGGACATGAGGAGGATAGTGCATCTCCACCTGGACATCTTTCACCAGCGGAGGGTACACCTCACCACCCACAACCTAAGGGTCAAATATGTTTTTTCATTAAATACTTTTTTCACATTTAACCAATACTTATGTCCATTTAAAAGCTGTAGTTCCCCTTAAGATTTGAATTTGGTCATCATTAACTCATTCTCATGTCGTTCCAAACCTGTATGATCTTCTTTCTTCTTAGGAACCTAAAATATCTTGATTAAAAGTCAATGGGGTCCAATGTTTTTTTTGTTTTGTTTTTTTTGTCCCTACTGACTTTCATTGTATGGGCAAAAACGGTTCTTCAAAATGCCCTATTTTATGTTCCACAGAAGAATAAAAGTCATACAAGTTTGAAAAAAATATGAGGGTGAGTAAATGATGACAGAATTTTCTTTTTTTGGGTGAACTATCCCTTTAAGTGCTGTTTCAATGTCCATTTGTATAGCACAAACCTGATACTTTAGCTTTCCATCTTTAAATAGACGAAGTTTGTGTTGTCTCTCCAGCGTCTCTCCATAAATATGCCCCAAGTCCACCTAAAACATTACAGAACCTTTAGAAATTGCATTATAGTTCCATATACACTTTGGATGGTTTGTAAAATTTTCTCTCCAAGTGAATTGGTTAATAGCTTTGAATGCCACTTACTCCATGACCCAAGGCTTTGGTGAAGGCTGGTCCTTTTTTAAAGTCAGACTTGAAGAACTGATGACTGAAATGCTGGGCGAAGAAAGCAAACATGAGACTGGACCTCTGTGGATCAGGGATGAACTGTTTCCTCAACAGCACCTTCTCAACCACCTGCTTTGCATTTGGGAGATCAGGCGTAGGGCAGTTCTGGGGCAATGGGGCGAGGGTGCGGGTGTAATAGGACAGGTTTGAATACGCTTCCCAGCTTTTGTAGTTATAATCTGCATTGTACGTCGGTGGACTGTCGACCAAATAGGACCTTGCTGTAAAACAAGAAAAGGGGAATATTACTTTGTGCAATTATTTATTCGGTGTTACCTATTTGGTAACACTTTACAATAAGGTTCATTTATTAAACTTTAGTTAATATATTAACTAACATGAACTAACCATGAGCAATACATTTGTACGAGTATTTGTTCATCTTTGTTAACGTTAATACAAATCCAGCTGTTCATTGATTGTTCATGTTAGTTCACAGTGCATTAACTAATGTTAACAAGATTTTAATAAAGTATTAGTAAATGTTGAAATTCACATTAACAAAGATTAACAAATGCTGAAGAAGTATTGTTCATTCTTAGTTAATGTAACTAATGTAGTTAACTAATGAACCTTATTGTAAAGTGTTATACCATTTATTCTTATTTTTTAAATTGCATTCAGTTTTACTATGAATCCACTTAAAAAGCAACATCATTCAACTTACATGTCAATATATAGCTCATTATGGCATCTCTCAGGTAAGAAATGTTGTTGATAATGTCCCAGATCCATTTATAATGTGTTAAAATGTAATGCACTATGTCTGGCCTTGGTTTCAGAGTTGATCTGATACGTGTGAGAAGCTCAGCTGTGAGGAAAGAAAGAAAAAAAAACAATTTTGAGTGCACACATTTTCTCTATGTAATTTTTTATCTGTAAATACAATCCATTACCAGACTTACGTGTAGTGCAGTTTTCACCATAATAACCTGTCCTGGTACAGTCACATTCATAAGCATCCGCGCCTTTGGATAAACATACACCCTGGTTTTGGCAAGGCTGTGTACAGCAAGGGTCGTCTGCAAGAAAAAAAAGTCATGACGTACAATTTTTTTAAAAAATTAAGATTGTTTCCATGCATGATTATAGGTTATTGCATGTAGAAAAATCAAACTGTGAAAGAAGCAGTCAAACATTGCTAAAGCTGAGTTAACTTACATCCTTCACCGGGAAAGATCCAAAAGCTTGAAAGTAGCACCAGGCAAACCAGTCTATTCATTCCAGTGGTTTTATCTATAATGTCTTACTCCGAAGCAGAGACGCGCACTCTGGTACAGCTCGTGGAATTCTGTGCGCCTTGAAGCGATCCTGCGCCTTTTAAACTGTTTGAGGGGGAAGTTATCTTGCGCAATTTCCAAGATGATTAGAAAAAAAGGTTTGTAACGTCAAACCTAACGACTGCATTTTTCCACAAGGTGCACATTCATCAAGGATTTATATTTGGGAAAAGGTAGCCATTCATTTATTATTAAAAAAATAAAAGTGATTAATGTAGTAACTATTGGTAAAAACCGTTGACAAATATATATATATAAAAAAATAAACCTAAAAGATTTTTCAGATTTACAATCTAGGCAATTCGGGATTTTTTTAATTGAACAACAAGTCCTACTCAAATGTTTATATAGCCTAATTATTTTTTTTGTTTGAGTTGGCCTACTTCCAAAATAGGCTGTATCTGTTTCGGGTAAAGTAGGCTAACTGTTTTATAGACATGGCTTCGGGTGGAAAAAAGGAAACATTTCTGCGTAAACCGTATGATAAAAATCAGACGATAACTTAGGCTACTGCATTGATAGCATACAGGCATTCCTTTCCAGCTCATGAGCGCCACCTAGAGCAAATGTCGCTATTCATTCGTAGTAATCTTTCATGGATTCTGAGTATGTGTTATAATTGAATTTTTTATTAAGAAATAAATCTCAAATGAAAACCTTTAAACATGTAACGACCTTTCAGATTTAGCCTACAGAGAGAAAAAAGAAACATAAAGACAACTAAGTCTAGCGCTAAAATAGCACCCATCGGGGTCCTTTTCATGTGTCCATCAGAGTTGAAATTTGAAGAACCGGGGCGGGGGAAGAGTTTGCGTCCGCCCAAAAATTTAACTGATTTTAGCGAATCGATTCGTTTGAATGATTAATTTCTTTGAACCGGTTCAGGAAACCCATTCACCAGTCATTTGAGTCATCATCGATCAAGTGATCCCCAACGGCTCTGGTGATCCCATGACGTTTTCTTGTTTGTGGTTAATTCATATTTTGTTCAATACTGATATTACCACTGATAATTCCGTTTACGTTTTAGTATTGTTTGTAGCCTATTTATCATAGGCTACTACTTGTGTGGTTTGATGCAGTCTGTCTAATTTAAACCCTGTTGGTGGCCCTTTACTGTTTTGCCAGAAAATCAAAATAAATGTGCTATGTTTATGGTTCCAACATTTCACCTACCTCATATTATATGATGATATATTCGACCATTCTCAGTCGAATGATTTACAAACGCTTTGCGAATCGGTTCGATCGAAACCTTACAATGAACGGTCTCAACTGAACGATTCATTCATGACACATCTTTAGTCCGCCCAGTATTGAGCATTCCTCCTGGCTTCCTGAATTGAATTTCTTGTCGGAGAGGGTCCAACATCACTGTACCACCAGTTATGGTAAGTTCTTGGATGTTTAATTTCTCTGTAAAGTCGTAAAACGTTAAGTATCCACGCGTGTAAATGACTTATGCAACAAAATCCTGCTTCAACAGTTTCTATCATACTTTCCTCTGAACTGAGAGCGAACTTTTGGGTCTCAAGACGTTGAACTCTGTTATTCGACAAGTATCATGTTTCAACCTCTTGTGCGTTTTTTTCTTTCTCTTTTTTATTGTCTAATTTGACAGTTGTTTTCCGGACTGTCTTGAAATAAAGTGCCTTCTTGACCTCCAAATTGCTGTCAGAATGTCATCCATAGACCCCTATCAGTACATCATAGTAAGTTACACTTTAACTTTAAAGCATCATGATGTCAATGAGAAACGTTTAGCTTTTTTTTAGAAAGTAGAGCTTGTTTAATTAAAATGAATGCATAACAGAAGCGTCAGGGTTCATTGGTCACTAATGTTAACATTTATGGTAACACTAAGGTTCATTAGTTAACATTAGTTATACTTATACAGCATTAATTAATAAGTTAATATTAATTTCAACATTTATACATTAACATTTACTAATACATTATAAAAATCAAAGGTTGTATTTGTTAACATTAGTTAATGCACCATGAACAATGAACAGCTGGATTTTTTATTAACTAACTTTAACAAAGATTAATAAATACTGTAACATATGTATTGCTCATTGTTAGTACATGTTAGTTAATACATTAACTAAAGTTAACTAATTAACCTTATTTTAAAGTGGTACCACATTTATTTATGTCATAATTTATTTGTTGTTTTTATCAATGTGCTTTACCTTTTTGAGACTCTAAGAAAGTTAGAAATGGAAAACTATAAAGCTTCAGTGGTTGGATTCATTTGCATGTGACAACATGCTGAAATGATGACATTAGAGACATACTGTATCTTCTGCTTAGCCATAGCCATAATTCTGTTTGGGAATAACCTGTTGTCTATTTCCTACTTCAGTAGTTAAATGAGCTTCCTTTATAGCCTACATAGATGCCTTTGCCACTCTAAATCCCTGCCATTGTGGATCTTTCAAATGTGCAGGTTGAGCATCAGTATTCTCATAGATTGAAAGTGATTGTGGTGAGAGCTGAAAATGTGACTAAAGGAGCATTTGGTGATTTATGTGAGTATATTTTTGTGCAGTCTTCTTGCTATTTGAAGAAACCCTCAAATGAGCATTCATACTTGAGTGATTATGTGTTTGTTCACAGTGGACACCCCAGACCCTTACGTGGAACTGTCAATTCCAACCACACCAGAGTCAAGGAAACGAACACGCCACATAAATAATGACATTAACCCGAAGTGGAACGAAACTTTTGACTTTGTATTGGATCCCAATGTACCCAATGTTTTGGAGGTGAAAAATCCATACTCTAAATTACTTCATGTGTATACAGTACTGTGCAAAAGTTTTAGGCACGTAACAGTATTGTCTCCACAAAAAAAAAAAGTTTTTAAGCCAGTTATGTATATCTTTTGCTGTAGTGTGTCAGCAGGAAATATCATTTTACATTTCCAAACATACATTTTTGCCATTAATTGTAATGGCATCTGGTAATTAACATACAGAAAAAACTGAGACAGACTAAATCCAGAAGAACTGTGGCAACGTCTCTAAGATGCTTTTTCCATTTCTTCATGTGATCACAGATTGACTCGATGATCGTGAGATCAGATTTCCGTGTAGAGCATACCGGCTGTTGTCAGAATGATCTATTTGCAGCAGTATCAGTACCAAGAGGGCGTGCCTTATAACAATAAACAATGTCAAAACCAAAGTCCATTAGAGGAGGACAGGAGGGGGCTTAGGGTGTGGTTGTTGGGCAGGAACACGGGACAGGCAGGGCCAGGGCGGAAACGAAGGTGGAAGGAGCCAGGGTGGAATACCCAGCAGGTAGGCCAGGACGCAGGCCCACGGCGGAGTCAAGGGAGGGATGAGCCATGGTAGAGGCTTAGCAGCTGGAACCAGGGGACGACTGACTGAGATGGAGCTGCTGGCTGTGGAGACCTAGGCGAAGATGACGAACAGAAGGGTGACACAAAAGTCCTGCAGGGAAGGGTGGAGCCAGGGTGTCAGAGAACTGAGACCAAGGCAGAGTGACTGAGGACCAAGGCGGAGCTGGAAGGAAGGAGAAGCCGAAGGGGTGGAGACACGAAGCGCAGCTGAAGTCCTGGAAGTCCATGAAACAGGAAGAGTTACGACTGATCAAGGCAGAGCTGGAGGGACAAGGAAGCTGAGTGGAGTCATAGGGAGTCAACGGTCCCAGGTGGAGCCGAGGTGGCGAGGAGCCAAGGCGGAGCTGACTGCTCGACAGACCGAGGTGGAGTTACGGGCCTGGAGCTTCTAGGCGTATCTAGTGGGTTGAAAATCCAGGGCTGGAGTGGCAAACACAAAGCCCAAGGCGAATCCAAGCAGATGGGTGGAGCAGGCGTAGGAGGAGCTAAAGGGCTGTGAGGAGACAGTGCAGGAAGGGGTTCACAAAAAGTTTTCTTGGACGATACACGACAGACATAAATTTCAGGACTGACCCTCTTGGTCAAAGCGGAACAGGCAGACATCTCACTTGGCTGACTAGAAACAGGCAGAGGGGAGGCAGGGCGGGAACACAAACTCTTAACAATGCGGTGCTGGGTGAAACTATGGCTGCGTTTACACTTGGCATTAACATGCGACCTGTATCCGGATGTTGTCCACATACGCATTGAAAAGACAAGTGTAAACGCGCTTCTGATCGGAATGTTATCCGATCAGCGTGTCCAGGATCGGAGGTAGTCGAGGACGCATTGTGATCGGATCTCAGTGTCATGTAAACGCAATCCAGCCATCGTGTCTGCATTCACAGGTGGACATCACACAAAACCCCGCCCACTGTCTTTATTCCCCCTCCTCTCTCCGGAACTGAGAGCTGTGTGGTTTTGCGATACAGTCGAGTGCGAAGTACATGTAGGCTACATCGCAAATATACTGAAATGTTTGCCTTCGCAGTTCGCACCGTAAAGTTGCAGAACCATTAATTTTCTGTAAAGAACGTGCATTTTTCCCACCACAGCTGGCAACGTTCTCGGACCCATACGTTTCTCTGTACCGTTTTTACACATTATTAGTAGCCTACTTGCAACCTCTTCATCCTCCTCATTTTGAGAGATTTATAAAATGTCCCCCGACTGAAAACTGTTTTTAAAAGAAAACCCACCACTTTAGGTCGACTTTGCACCGGAGCCATCCATTTTTATTTTTTATTTTTGCGGGAATGCGAGATCCGATCTGTTATCCAGATACAGAAGCCACTTGATGTGGACAGGTGTAAACGCACCTTGTCCTGATTGGCTTATGATCCGATCTGCTTGATCGGATCACGTGATCGCATGTTAATGGCAAGTGTAAACGCAGCCTAAATTAACAACGGGTGTAACACATTACCAGATCAATAAAAAACCATAGCAACTAACTGAAAACTAGGTCAATACTAAAACACATAGCAAGCCCAGACAATCCCTATATATATATACACATTAGGGGTGTAACGGTTCACAGAAGTTCGGTACGTACCTCGGTTTTGGGGTCACGAGTTTGTTACATTTACATGTCAGTTGTTGTTTTTTATAGTTTAAAACATAACAAAGTTATTTTTGTGAAAGGTTTTGCTTTAAAAGTGTGCCTATGCTGTTGTTGGCATGTACAGTACTGTATATGGTTTATGTAGAATCCATAAAGGTGTTGTATTGCAGTTTAGAAGTATTAGAAAATACATCAGCACTACTGTATGTTATAATACTGTTTGAATGCTGTTTTTTTAGATGACACTGATGGATGCTAATTATGTAATGGATGAAACTCTGGGCACAGCTAAATATTCCCTCACAAAGCTCAAAGTGGGGCATACAGAGCAAGTGGCCCTCTCTATCGGCAAGGTAAAAGCTCATTTTGGTTTACACCTTGAACCTGTTGTGAATTAAAATCATACATTAACTTGAGCATCATGGTTACTAATTCTAAGTGTCGTGTTGTTTACTATTATTCTCTGATTCTTGCTAGACGACCAAAGTGTTCCTCGACTTGTTCTTAGAAGTGTGGTATGTATTTTTATTCCTGCACATAGTGGCTATTTGAGTTCCCTTTTGTGGTCCCTTTGTGGTGGTTCATATTGATTTTGTTTTGTTGGTTTATCAAATAAGAATGAATGAGGGACTGAAAGTGAATAATTTTTGTACAGTTCGTCCACAGACTTGCGCTTCAGCATGGCACTGTGTGATCAGGAGAAGCTTTTCATGAAGAAGCGCAGGGACAGAGTTATGCTCAGCATCAAGAAGCTTCTCAAAATGGAAAACCCACGCTTCCTTCCAGCCTCACCGAGAGAGGTAAAGTCAAAAACCACACAAACTGCCTTATGAACCATGCTATACTAAAAAAAGGATTGTGTGGCTAGTGTTAGAGATCCTGTGTGATTTCAGTTCAATCTGTGCTCAGGTTCCCACTATCGCCATAGTGGGCTCTGGAGGGGGTTTCCGTGCGATGGTGGGCTTCTCTGGTGTGATGAAGGCTCTGTATGAATCGGGGGTGCTTGACTGTGCAACATACATGGCAGGACTTTCTGGATCAACGTGGTCAGTAAAAGCAGAATATTCAGATATTTAAACTTGCTTACACGCATTTGAAACCATTCCGAACACTTGAACAAATCTTGGCTATATTTCCACAGGTATATGTCCATGCTGTATTCGCACCCTGAGTTTCCTGCGAAAGGCCCAGTGGATATTAATAAGGAGCTGATGACCAGGGTCAGCAATAACCCACTCAAACTGCTCCTGCCCCAAAATGTCAACCGGTACGTCAAAGCACTGTGGAAGAAGAAATCGGCCGGACAGCCTGTCACCTTCACTGACATCTTCGGGATGTTGATAGGAGAGACTCTCATTCCTGCGGTGAGATACCGTGTGCAAGAATACAAACTGGGTTATTGAAAGTTCTTACTGCAGTAGGACATCAAGAGCGGCATGAACTGTGCTGCACTGTACTCTATTTATACACTGGTCAAGTACAAAGACTCCTTTGTTAGTTGTCTCTCTATTATGCATCCAAATGCAAATGGACCCTTCTCTTTTGGGGAAGGTCCCTGTAAATCAGGAAGATACTTCTCAATAAGAGAAGGCACTACTGTACACTACCGTTCAAAAGTTTGGGATCAGTAAGGTGGGGTTTTTTATTAAAGAAAGAAAGTAATTGATACTTTTATTCAGCATGGACACGTAAAATTTATCAAAAGGGACAGTAAAGACATTTATAATGTTCCAAAAGATTTGATTTATTTTTTATAAATGCACTGTTCCTTAAATTATCAGTGTTTCTTTGGCTTTTAAAAGGTTTTAAAAAGTCTTTATTACAGGGTTCGTACAGATACAGTAAAATTAAATTCCAAGACTTTCAAATACTCTTCAAGCACTACTTTTTGGTTTTCAAGGACTACAATCAGAGATCTTACTTGTCAAACGATATCTTGATTATCTTTCAAATTCTAAAAAAGATAAATAAAAATAAACTAATAAAACAAAATTGTACAAATAAATTGCAACACATGCAATGACTGTGGTAACTTTAACCATTGAGCTTTAACCATACTATGACAAAGCTATCGCTTTCCTTATTAAATGTTTTTATTCTCATGAATATATGATTGACCTGAAGAATGAAAGTTGTATCATGTATTTGAATATTTATATAAGCAATATCATGCTCATAGCCATGCGAAATGGCTCTATATCCACAGCAGGTGGGCTGCAGCGTTAACTTTGCGTGAAAAGATTGTTTTATCAATATAATTAAACAGGGTTTTCGAGGACTTAAATGTCAAAAAATCGAATTCAAGTGCTTCAAGCACTTTAAGTACCTTGTACGAACCCTGGTATTATCCTTTGCACAAATGAAGGCCTTAAAAACAGTCTTGAATCAGAATAGAAAGTCTTAAATAAGTCATGCACTGCAAAAATGAATATCTTCCTCAGTATTTTTTGTCCTGTTGTCCAATACAAATATCTAAACATCTTTGATTTACTTGAGATGCAACTGTAGTAGTCAATGAGTTATGAAAACTTCCCTTTGAATTAAGCTGATTTTTGAATTAAGCCAATTGGCAGATATTTGTCCTGGTTTCAGTCATAAACTCGCTTCATTTTGATCAATTTTACAGAAAACAAGACTTTATATTTCATGTAATTTTGCATCTCAAGTAAATGTATCTTGATTTAAGAATCTTTAGACAATTGCACTTGAAAACAAGACAAAAATACTGGGGACGTTTATCACTTTTTGCAGTGCAATCAGAAGGTACTGTAAAAGTTATTTCCATATTCTAGTGGTTGGGATTGAAGCTACTTTTGGATGGTAAAATGAATTAAAAAGTTATGGATATCTATGTATTTTCAAACTCTGAAGTGTTGCAAATGCAACTTATTGTGTTTCTCCCTAGACATTTACATTTTGAGAACATATAGACATATTGTTTTGTCTTCAATTGATTCCTTAAATTTTCTTTACTTGGTCTTAAAAAGGTATTAAAAAATTACCTTCATAAAACCTGCAGAAACCCTGATTATAATACACTTCTTGGTACCAACCTTTTAGAGAACGCTATGTAAAAAACATTGTTAATTTACAATTTTGACTTCCCTCCACCTCGACAGATGCTGTGTAAAAAAGTTTGATCATTACGCTTACTTTGTGTGTTTTTGCGTGTTTTGCACAGAGAATGGACACTAAACTGAGCGCCTTGCAGGGAAAAATTAATGAAGGTCAGAGCCCGATGCCTCTCTTCACCTGTCTGCACGTCAAACCTGATGTCTCTGAGCTCATGTTTGCTGGTAAGAAGAAAGTTCACATTAAATGGGCTACAAATACCAGCAAATAATAACATTAGAATGGTACATTGTATTGCATTGTCCGTTATTTATTGCTGTATGAATGTATAATTATTGTCAAAATGGAATGAGAAAAGACTGTCAATACTTGTCATGATAAACAAAATAGTCAAAATTTGTATGACACCTCCTCCTAGCCTCCATGGAAGCTGAACACTATCGATTTGTTTATATTTGCTTAATACTGTGGAAAACATGCAAATATTTGTTATGGGGCCTAATGATTGACCCACCGTGAAGTCAGTCTGAAATTACACAGCTCCTCTCATAAGTGTAGACACTATTTTTAGAGACTAGTGTACTAGTCAATGTGTGGGTAGGTTGTTTTCTGTTGAATGGGATCAGAGGATGTGACTAAGCAGGTGATGGCGGAAGTGGAAGTAATTGTAAGTTAGTTTTTGTCAAGCGAGTCACTTGCTGTAAATTACTCTTTGCATTTGAGTGGACTTGAGTCGTATAGTATTATTTTAGTAGTAAAATGTAATATTTTACAATGTCTTTGCATGTCATTTTTTCCCCTATTTTTCCCATTTTTTCCTATTTCAATCAGACTGGGTGGAGTTCACCCCATATGAGATTGGCATGGCCAAATATGGCACCTTCATGTCTCCAGGACTGTTTGGGAGCAAGTTCTTCATGGGCTGTGTTGTGAAACAATATGAGGAAAACCCCTTACATTTCCTCATGGGTAAGACTGGGATTGCTCTGTATTTTAACAGAAGGGTTTACTCATTTAGACTACCTCAATACCCATGTAGTGACAACGGTACAGTCACTCATGTACTTTACAATTACTCATACTTCCCATTGGATGTATTGAATATTCCTGATGAAACCCAAAAATGAAACTTCTTTCATAAATTACTCACCCTCCTGTCATTCCAAACTCATTGTTAATCTTTGGAAAATTCACATTCAAATTCATATGGATTAGGTTTAAGATCTCTTTTTGAACTTTTTGAAGCACCAAAGTGTCAGTTGCGTAGCTGTCAATGGAGGGACAGAAAGCTCTGAGATTTCATGTTTTTCGGGAAATTAACACAAAGATGAATGACATTTAATCATTTACAAGACAAGGTACGACCTTTGAATGTATTTGAAAGATTTTAGTTATCACATAAAGATTTTGAATTACTTAGCAACAGCAGCTGTTTAGTTGAAATGATGGTTCCTCTGATTAAAAAAAAAAATCTATTTAAAGCGAGCACTGAAATATGTCATCAAAAGGCTGAAAAAATAGATGTAGAGATATAATCATGTTTTTCATGCTTTATTATATATAACTCTTTATATAAATGTATCTTATGTTGAATCAAGATCACTAATCTTGCACAAGCATCTTGCACCCTTTTGAGTTTGAATATGAGCTATACATCAGAATATATAATCCATCATAATCCTGTTTACCGGTTCCAGGCATTGTTTGCTGTAGTATGTAAAGTGTTTGATGTAAGAGTGTGTGCTGCAGGTGTATGGGGGAGTGCTTTCTCCATCCTCTTTAACCGGGTTCTGGGGGTGAAGGAGACAACCAGCAGTAGCACAATGGAGGAGGAGATGGGTGAGTAAGATTGTTTCTCTTACTCTTCTAGCTATCAGAGCCAAAGAACTTGATGAAAGGTACAAATTGCACCATTTTTCAAGAGAACACAGATGTAGGACTATTTAGATTGATATCATATCATCGAGTTTCTATCCAAGAAAAGACGTTCTTGTGACGTACTAAAATGTGCCATTACTAGTTCTTCTAGTGCAAACGTACAGTTGACACTCATGAGTGCACAGTGTTGGTGTAGAAAGATAAGATTAACACACTGATCTACTCGCTATTGCTGTGTGACCTCAGTCAAACCCACTGCAAATATTCAAAGTTGAAGTACAGCAACATATAACACTAACAGATGAGTTTGTTCGGCATGTTCATGTTTATGTTGCACTTTGCATAAATACAATTAGGCTTTGAACTTTGATAAAATAACATTTTAAGACTTTAGGACTGTTATAGATTTTCTGCTCTGAGACTTTATTTTCCACCACATTCTCATTACTGTGATCAAGATAGTAATTCAGCACAACAAACACTATCACGATGTACACTAAGGGGCTGTTTACACGACACCATTTTCAACTAAAAACTTCAACTTTTTGCCGTTCGTTTACACGACAACGGCATTTTGGGTGCCTGAAAACGCAATGTTGTGTAAACGGGTTTTAAGATGCAAGTTTTTATAAAACAGTCTCCGTGTAAACAACAAAAACGCATCTCTGGAGACGATGACATCATGCACATGCGTATTACGTGTTCTGTCTATACTGTTTCATCGCCATATAATGGCCTGGCAGCAGAATACAGGGGTTTTTATTCATTTTTCACGGATCTGTGTGAATAGAGATAGTTTTGAAAACGGTGTCGTCTGTATGCGGAAAACTCAAAGGAAAAACTTCTCCGTTTTAAGCATATCGTTTTCATGTAAACGTACCCTTAGATTAACAACTAGTCTACAAATGTGTCATTTGGGTTTTTTTTGTATATAGCTGGCTGGCTATTAAGAATCAGGAGATCACAATGCAAAACAAAAACCTTATATATACATCTATGCAAAATTTAAATGCCTTTTTTTGAGGTCCACCCATAGGTTGCAACTTAGAACAGGGAAAAGAAAGAGGCTGCGTGTGTAACACTGTTTGTGTCTTCTGTTTTTCAGAGCAAATTAAGCCAGAGCATATTGTGGGTGATGATTCAGCAGATAATGATGAGGAAACTCAAAGAGGTGAGAGAGCTCTTTTCACTCTCTTTTACTTTTTTCTCTCACATACATGCTTAGTTCAATTCAAGGCACAGCAATAACTCCCCGCTGGCGTGTAAGAGTTTTGGGCCAGTTGACAGGACAGTCATTTAGGGCCCTATCATACATTTGGCGCAATGCAGCGCCAGGCGCGACGCAAGTGTTTTTTGCTAGTTTCAGCCCGACGCAGTTATCATTTTCACGTCCTGCGTCACATTGTTTAAATAGCAAATGCATTTGCGCCTATTTGTGCACCCATAGGCGGGCTGGTCTGAAAACGAGGTGTGTTCAGGCGCATTGTTGGCGCGTTGCTATTTTGAGGCAACTGAAATAGAACTGAAACCTGGTCTAAAGTCAATGACGCAACATTTTTTTTGTTATTTAAAGAGCGCGTTAGTAATGTGCGCCTTTATGCTGGTCCACAACGCGCGTACACTCTGCATATTACATACACAGGGACACGCAGCAGCACACAAACTAGCAAAATATTAAAAATAAAAGGATTACAATGTAAAAGATTAATATTGTGTACATAAAGATATGGTGGAATCCGGCCTGTCCCGTAGATGGTCTACTTGCGCACTTTAACCTCATGCAGATCCATTTGCTCTCTGGAGACTCGTTCAGTCTTTCCGCTTGCCAATTCCGTCATGTAAATAGCAAACCGCCTTGGTGTGAGCGCAACTGGCTTTTAAAGAGAATGGGAAATTACACTCTAATTGTTTATTTTGCACATTATGCCCAAAACACACCCATTACTCATTAATAGAATAGGGATAACCCTTTTTAACCCAACCATTTTTTCCCGTCGTTAAACTAGCAAAGGTGGATTCGGACACGCCCTAAGTGAACTTGCGCCCTGCGCTTCAGACCATGCGCTTAGATTGTTAAAATAGGGCCCTTAGTGTTGCATCATTACATCCCATGTTTATTCATCATGTACATGTTTTAATGCCTTAAACATTTGGTTTTGTGTGATATGCTTAACATTATATATCTATCTGTCTTATCTATCTTACTGTTTAATGTTTTGTCTATTTATTTATTTGTTCGTTTGTTACCAAGGTAGCATTATCCAACTGTCTAAATGTTTTGCACCATATGCAATCATGTAATCATTTTCCAGTAAAAGTGTGTATGCATTCATAACTTTCATGTCATAGTTGCATAATTTTCAGCTGTTATTACCCTAAAAAACGAATACATTTGTAGAGTTAAAAAATAAATGTATACAGTTATATAAAGCTATATAAGTATAATTTTCTGATGCATATAAAATGTTACACAAATATTTTTTTGTTTTTGGTTTAGTGAAAATATTGCCATAGTAGGTAAAAATCTGTAAAAAAAAAAAAAAAAGGAGCTAGAGTATCATTGTTTGTCTCTCTTTCTTCCAGGAGGCACGGAGTCCGCAGAGGCAGAAGATGAGCGGCAGCGTCATGCTCAGGCTAGCTGGGGTCAGCGCATGTTGACCTCCATTATGGGGGACAGCACCCTGTTCACCACACGTGAGGGCCGTGCCGGCAAGGTGCACAATTTCATGCTGGGACTCAACCTGAACTCTTCCCTACCCTTCTCTCCCTTCAGCAACCTCATGAGCCAGACCTCTGTGGATGAGGAGGTTGATGCTGTTACAGGTACTAATAAGGCTCAATCCCAATTCACCCCTTGGCCCTACCCCTCCGTTTTGCGCGTTCACGTCAAGGGGTAGGGTGTCCCGATTCTTGTTTAGATCGAGGGGTAGGGCTACATAGCCCTCGAAACGGAGATTTTTCAGAGGCACACTCCAAACGGAGGGCTACGAGAAAGTTCGCAGAATACATCGCGAATCACCAGCGTGATGGCTTCACAAACGGTTAAACATTTAAATTTAGCGCCAGATGACACCACCGTGCACTTTATTTACTCTTATAATAATGATATAGTCATTTAAATTAAGAAATTGTATAGTAAATTACCTTTCCGAAACAGAAAAGACATACATTTCGAGGAAGGAACGTTATAATCATCATGTTTCCTCAAAGTTAAGAGCAGCTGCGCTGATTGTCAGTCGTTGTCATGGAGAAATCCTGTAAAAACTCCGTAACGGCAGAGCCATCGCCGACGACTGATGACGTATCGGGTTCATGAAGGGTTGTTCCATTTCGTAGGGGAATATTTCAACCCCTTGGCCCTTGTAACTCTGTTTTAAGGGCCAAGGGGTACACTCGAAAACAACGGGTAGGGCCAAGGGGTGAATTGGGATAGAGCCTTAGTCATTTATCTGCCGCTTATGCAAATTTACATTTGAGCCAAGAACGCCCTGATATTATTATTCCTTTGCGAGGACCCCCTTCCTAGAACAGAAAGACTATTACAAAAAGAAAAGCCGCTTATTGTAAAGACTGATTTAACCCCCATCCCCCCATTGAGCAAGAAAGTGCAACAGTGGTGATGAGAGAATAAATAGAGACAGACACAACATGAGTTTTCAGTAGAAGTTCATATATTTTATCTTGATTTAAAAAAAAAAAGCACAATGAACAGTAACAATAGTGAAAACTCAAGCATCACCCTTCGCAAGATTTAAACCTTCAACGTTTTGGTCCAGAATTTTAAGTATGCGTTTAAAAGAAATGGGTGTGACGGACTGTAGGTGGAACAATAGGCTGAAATCTGGTCAGGTGCCACAGGACTTGATGATGGGCTTTCGAATATTATTTGGTGCCTGAGTGGGAGGAAGTCAGTCAGCTCAAAACTTCACATCTAAGAAATACCAACACACCCACTGCAGATTAACTTTTTTCCCACGGGTCAAATATACAGAAATACCTTAATACATCACAAAGGAAGCATCTTTGGCTCGTCAGAACAAGATCACTGATTGTGTTAAAATGAGAACATTGTGAGCGCTGTCTAAGTTCATGTGTCATTCTGTTTAGCTCGCTGATCAGTGAAGGCAGGGTCTCATCCGCTAATTACTGATAATAATAGCCCTGCATGTGTCTGTGGCTCAGCAGCAGTCTACTTCCTGTTGACAGTTGGGTGTGAGAAAAAAGATAAGCTCAAGTGATGTGAGTTGTATAGTAATGTTGAACAAATGATGACTGTTGCAAAACTTTCAACATAGAATATTCTTTACTCTCAAACAACTAGGTGAATGTTAGTGATGACATCCTGTAGTTCCTTTACAGGTCATTGCCACAAACCACAACAGTAACATTACAAAAAATCTTTTCTGCAGATCCTGATGAGTTTGATAGAATCTATGAGCCTCTAGATGTGAAGAGTAAAAAAATCCATGTGGTGGACAGCGGGTTGACCTTTAACCTTCCCTATCCTCTCATTCTGCGACCTCAGAGAGGAGTTGACCTAATCATTTCCTTTGACTTCTCAGCCAGGCCCAGTGACTCCAGCCCGCCATTTAAAGTGAGTGTCTGTCTGCCCGAGGCTTGTGCATGACATGTACATATGAAGAATAATATGAATGTATTCAAATGTGGATTTACATCAGACAAGTTTGTATGAAATGTCACACAATGCAGATAGATAGGAAGTAGACAGAAATTCTACTTTTATTGGTTTAACAGTTTTTGCCTTTAAGCTCAGTTGCTCTGGTCATATACACTACCGTTCAAAAGTTTGGGCCCGGTAAGATTTTTTAAAAATGTTTTTGAAGGGGTCTCTTAGGCTCAACAAGGCGGCATTGATCAATAATCCAGTCTTCAGTCACATGATGCTTCAGAAATCAGTCTAATATTCAGATTTGGTGATTAAGAAAATTGTTGGTTACACTATATTTTGACGTGTCATTGTTACAGTGTAATTATATTTAAGTAGTAATATTTTATATTTTATAATATATTTTAGTAATATTAATTAACAACATGTACTTACTCTAGGGTTAGAGTTGGATTAGGATTTGGTTGTAGGGTTAGTTGCATGTAATTATGCATAATTTACTGTTATTACTATGGTAAATACATGTAACATATGTAACGGACATTGTAAAATAAAGTGTTACCAAAATGTATTATCATTATTATAGAAGTCTTTTGTTGCATTATAAATGTCTTTTTTGCCACTTTTGATCAATTAAATGTATGCTTGTTGAATAAAAACATTAATTTCTTTCAAAAAATCTTACTGACCCTAAACTTTTAAATGGTAGTGTACATATATTTTTACTAAAACATTTTATATATAGAAAAATACTATCCAGAGACTTCTGTGAACATTTTAGTGAATATGTTTGTGGAAACATTTTTCTCAGCGTTCTTTGATTAATAGAAATTTATTTAATTTTAAAGACATTGTAAATGTCTTTACTGTCACTTTTGATACATTTTTTGTGTCCTTGCTGAATAAAAGTATCAATTTAAAACAAAAAATCTTACTGACTCCAAACTTTTTAACAGTAGTGTATGTTTCTCTGAGCTGTTTTTTCAAAAGTGTGACTGTCATCTAATTGTGTCCTTGTTTGTCTGTGTTAGGAATTACTGTTGGCTGAAAAATGGGCCCGTATGAATAAGCTGCCATTCCCCAAGATCGATTCAAAAGTATTTGACCGAGAGGGTCTGAAAGAGTGCTATGTGTTCAAACCCAATAAGGGAGAAAAGAACTGCCCCACCGTCATTCATTTCGTCTTGGCCAACATCGACTTTCGGAACTTTAAAGCCCCAGGTGAGAGCATGTCATTATAATATTACACATGCATTTTAACAACCAGTCAGTAAATAAGTAGTTAAGTCGTCAAGTTTCACTACCTTTATGAATTTATGTTCTTAACATTTTTTAAGTCTAAATAACAGAAACAGTTCTCATCTCATTTCAAGTCAGATATGACCTGTAATAAACTGTGGCTGAGCCATTCCAGCTGATTCAAGTAGCGGTCAAAAGTTAAATTGGTCAAAAGTAACAGTAAAGACATTTATAATGACCCAAAAGATTTCTATTTCAAATATTTGCTGTTCTTTTGAACTTTCTATTCATAAAAGTATCCTACAAAATGTTATCTAGGTTTTGACAAAAATTATTATTTTTATATTTTTAATTTTAATTTTAATTAAAGTTTTAGTAATTTTTGTGGGCCGGGGTGTTCATTTTAGTTTGTATTTCAGTTTTAGCTTTAGTTTTTTTTTAGCACATCAAGTTAAACTAAATGAAAAAGAGAAATGGTGAAAACTAGCTGAAATAATCTTTTTTTATTTCAGTTAATGTTTATTTTTTATTTCAAACAACGGAAATGTTTTTTATGGATTGAGGTTTAGTTAACTATAATAACACTGAATAGATGATATATAATAACAGTTCTTTTAATTTGTAATAATATTTCACAATATTACTGTTTTTCAATACTATTTCACTAATTAAAATTTGTATTATAGATCATGTGAACTACTTTGTAGAAAAGGTCAGATTTAATTGTTCTCTTTTCTGTTTTCATGAAGGAGTTCCTAGAGATTCAGACAAGGATATAGAGTTTGGCGACTTCGACATATTTGACGATCCAGCCTCTCCCTTCTCTACTTTCAACTTCAAATACTCCAACCAGGCCTTCAAGAGGCTTCATGACCTAATGGAGTTCAACACACTCAACAACATTGAGGTCAGTTCTACTCCTTCAAACTCTGATTCAAACACCTTCACAGCCGTTTTTGCAGTTCATTTTTGGTCTTCATTCTACGTGTTTTGTTTTGTAGGTCATAAAAGAGGCTATTAAAGACAGCATTCTGCGGAGACGAGAGAACCCATCATGCTATACGGTTTCCCTTTCCCTCAATGAAATTGAAAACAAGAAGTTCCTGAAACGGGATACCAGCTTTGCAAAATGACACGCCTAACAGATAGCTATGCAAACAGCTATACGCAAAAGCCTTCACATGTGAGACGGCATTGGTCCACTGGTGCTTGATGGGAGTCAGTGAGCAGATTCCTCAGAAAAGACTGGATTGACCTTATTACAGGGTCATTTTTATGTTGCATTCCAGAAGACTTTGAATTTTCCCACCTCTTACTTGAAATTAACCACTGGAAAGAATTAATAATTCACTGGATAATTTAAAGAATTATTCACTGGAATTTAAATAATAAAAATGACCACAAAAAAATAATAAAAGAGAAAATAAAAATAAAATCTCATTCAAAATAAGGAACTATAATCAAAAATAATAACATAATAATAACTATAAATATAAAAAAAAAAATAACAGAACTGTTATTTACCGTTACACTGTTACAACAAACTGCCGTTTGATGTCATTTTCAATATGGCGGCAAATAAAGCGACATTCAGTAGGTTATTTTCAAGTAGAGGTGCGACAGTTCTGTGATCCAGGTTGTCTGGATTGATCTAAAGGTGGGAAATGGAAAATTTCAATTCAAGTTATGCCACCTCTGGAATGTGGAATCCGGAAAACAGAATCTACAGACATATTTTTTTGTATGTGGAATAGATTTAAAAATGGTAATATGTGTTAACTGATCTGAGAGCTGAGAGTACTGCACTCTTATTGGTCACTGAAATTAGCCAAAATATTTAATAAACAAGCACTCAATGGGCAGGGGACATGAAACACTTTGTAAATGAGAACCATTCTGTGAGTCAGTGTGGACCATTTTCAACTTTATTTCAAAATTATTTATAAGTCACTATGTGGGCATATTCTCCACACCTTTAATGTTAAAATGCTTTCAATTCTGGCTGTGTGCTTCTCTACAGAGTCAAATACTGGCAGCTTTGTTTTCACTTAGTTAATACTGTTCTGAGAGTAATTTATGGTCTCAATGGTGGCTTGAGCTTCAGGACACGCTGTTCCTTATGTGTTTCTGCCGATGTGATTAGAAAACAATTTCTGTTCTCCGTTCGGTTCTACTGTGACGCACCTATGACCACTAGATGGTTGATGGTAAGCCCTGCCTTCAGGAGGATTCATCTCATATTTTAGCAAAAGATTCATTGCTTAGGAACTGGATTTAGCTGCTTTTATTTATTTTGCTTACAAATGTTGTCTCCTGCCCAAGGGGTGAAAGGAAGAAGGTGAAATGTCATCTCACACAGTACCCACGCAGGACTCCACCTCTTTGTGAGGTGTCTGGAACAATGACAAGATGGAACATGTTGTAAAAATGTCCTCATTTCCTGTTTGTATCAGATATTTGTGGCGCATACAATATCCAACTTCCCACATAGTCATTCCTCTGGTTTACATACTTTATGATGAAAGTGTACACACGATTATTTATTTGTATGCTTATTGTGTAGTTTTTTTTTTTATGTTGTTTTTAAATTCATTTTAAGATTTGGACATCTCAAAATCAAACATTTGAAATAAATGTCAATGGGAATAAAGTGATTAAGTAAAGCAGGTAAGGTCATTCATAAAACTGAACTGAGGTCAGTAGGATAAAGGTGGAAGGTATAGATACTAGAAAGACTGGTTGTGTGGTAAAAAATAGACCTTGTGTTAGAGTGCACTTTAACTCCAAAATAAATATCAACACATTCCTTGCTGTTTGTGGTCTGTACAGTTGGATTTGAAACAACTTAATTATGATGCTGCGAACACCACAACTGTCAGATCCTTTGAAAGTGGAGATGTACTGTATGTTTGTATGTTCATGTGTAAAAAAAACATAATTATGAGTGCCATTTACCTTTAAGTGATGTTACTAGCCCATGTAGTGTAATGTGCATTTAACATAATTAAAGGATCTCATACCAATGAATGGTCTGGAGACTATGCTTTCACTAATAGTTAATACTTTTTTTGCCAGTCCTTTAAACAAAACAAAACACTTTACTGTGAAAATCAAGTTTTTTTTAATTCTTTTAATTCTTTTTTTTTCTTTTTTGGCAAAAAGACACCTCATTTGAGGAAATGTCTAGTTGCTGGGAAAAACTGTGGTTGTTAGGAATTTTAAAATGCAAAACCTCAACTGAAAAGTACAGAAGCCCTGAACCGCAACGTAAAAAAAAAAAAGAATAAATCTAAGATTACGAAAATAAAGCCGTAGCAATACAAGATTAAAGTCGTACATTTTTTTTAATAAAGTCAAAATTGCCAGAATAAAGTCTTAATATTTTGAGAATAAAGTAAAAATTACGAGAATAAAGGCGTAGTATTACGAAAATAAAGTCATAGTAAAACAAGATTAAAGTCGTAATATTTTAAGAATAAAGATATATTGCGTGAATAAACGTAATTATTTCGAGAGGAGGAAATCACAGTATTACGAGAAACAGAGTGACAATGATAGAGACAGCATGGCTGTGGAGGATTTAGTCAATAATCTTAACCCTTAAAACTCATCTTTTATCACCAAAATGAAATATTTAAACGTTTGAATGTAACTCCCTTGCCTCATTTACTAGCTATACGTGGTCTTTGAATATGCAAATAAGCCCCGCCTCCACTCACTCACACCAGCGCAGAGATCCACTCGTTGACTAGTCTCAGCCTCAGACGTCACGCCCACGGAACGTTGGCTAAACGTCTGATGCATATGGTACACTTAACTGGAAACACTTCAGGAATGTCGAAGTCGTCATCTGATTGGTTGAATTTTATCGGATTTCCGGGGGGTGCGAGTGTCGCGTTTATTTTCGGTCTGCCGGGAAACAAAGCGCAGACGTGTGATTGCGGAAGAAAAACTGTTGTGTTTACATGAGTGACAATGAGCATTTATCAAGATCAGCTAAACGTAGGATTCTCAAAAGTATGCGAGGTTCACGGCGTAGACTCTTTAAGAGATGTCCAGGAGTTTTGTTTGAGGCACTTAGTGGAGACAAAAAGAGATATTTTAGCCTGTTTGCCGACGGGATTTGGGAAGAGTATTATTTTCCAAGCCTGGCCGACCCTTTGTCAGCATTTATAAGGATTCCCAGCAGATCCAACTTTACTAGTTGTGTGTCCCCTCGTATCTATTACATAGCTGTCAACCCTCCCGTTTTTTCCGGGTTTCTCACGTATTTTAGCTCTTTTCCCGCTGTCTTCCCGTTTTATTATTTTCCCGTAAAATATCCCGTATTTTTACGCTCTGATTGTGTGAGACGTACATGCTCGGGCAGATTCGGCTTGAAGTCGTTCATCCTCGGATGCGGCGCCGCGCGCGCTGTTACAAAAAAAGCTGTGCACACAGCCAAGCGAAATGGGGTCTTGCCGGTCTTGCGCACCCAACGCGTAATCTTTGCCGCGCTCGTGCGGACGCGTCAAGTATAAACAATTAAGCCTTGTTTATACTCGACGCGTCCGCAAGAGCGCGAAGGTGCGCGCGGCAAAAATGACGTAATTGCGGTGTGGGCGGTCGTGCGCGTTGGGTGCGCAAGACCCCATTTCGCCTGGCGGTGTGCACGGCACTTTTTGTAACATCGCGCGCGGCGCCGCATCCGAAGATGAACGACTTCGAGCCGAATCTGGCCGAACTGGTACGTCTGTACCAGGATGTTTATGATCCTTCTATACACAGAGACATTTGCATTGATGGGCGACCATAAAAGCCTCTCATTTTGTGAATAGGAACACATTTGCATCAAACACACAGTTTGCACTCTAAAGTAACTGCTTATATTTACAAAATAAGCCTACAATAGCAGAAGTAAGCCCTGCTGATGAAATTAAGGTTTAAACACTCTTCAATAAGGCTTCAGTTGTTTAACTAGTTTACATGCAGTGAAAGTACAATAAACCTACTGCATTTATTACTCTTTTTATATGAATCAGCAATTAATAAACTACTAATAAACGGCAAACTACTTCTTCACTGCTGATTCCTGGTGGTTTAGAGGAGAATTACTCCGAGTCGCCCCCTGTCGTTTCACAGAATAGCACAACGGCGAGCGCGTCGAGTATAAACGCCTCGTCCGTTTGGAGAGGTGCGCGCGCAGTCAGCGGAGACTCGCGCTCGTGCGGACGCGTCGAGTATAAACAAGGCTTTATACTCCGTGTCAGCGCGCGCTTTGATCGGTAAAGGAGCACAGACCTCTCCCTAATCATCTCCAGCAGCCCCCGAAGCACCACGTACCGTTTCCCTCGTAAGCTGATATTAGTATTTAAACATTCTCTGATAAAAAATGTTTAAAAAATGACACACTTTCTCTAATACACACACACACTGTCTCTTTCTCTCTCACTCATTTGTAGTTATAAACTCTTTAGACTTTTAATGATTAGTGCTTTATTTTTAAAGTTTGTGGTGGGTAATCGTGTAAAAAAAATCCCTTATTTTGGGGATGGATTCCGGGAAATCTCCCTTATATTCAATGTTCAATGTTGACAGCTATGATCTATTATGGAAGATCAAGTGAAATACCTAACTGTGAAGGGGATATCAGCCGCGTTTGCGGGCAAACATGAAACAACAGACGCTGACATCGCAGCTGGCCGATTCAGTGTTGTGTTCGGTTTTCTTCTCCTCCTTTGATTTTCTATGCTGACTGACTTGTTGCACGCCGGTCTGTCTGTTGTTGTGGGGACATTTCCACGTGACGCTGAACGAAACGAACTGTAATTGGTTGTTTGACATGTCGGTCAAACGGCCTTATGGGCGGGCCTTGGCCAAAGAAAGCTGCTATGAGTTCCAGACCTTCAGCCGTCAGTCTGAAGGTCTGGCTACGCGAGACTACTCGTTGACTATCACACGGTGACATCATGGTTAAAAGGTAGATTGTGAGGTCAGAAACACCAGCGATTTCAAACTGCGTTTTTTAGACTGTCTTTCTTTGGTTCACTGCCTTTTTAAGGAGAAAATACTCAGCAATGGTGTTGTCGTGTTGACTTATGAATTTGCACATGATTTGTCTTAAAACATATTAAAATCACCACATAGACATATAAATAACATTAAAAGCTTGATTTTCACCACAGGGGGACTTAAAATGCCTGGTAAAGTTAATTTATTTTTAGATGGGATTCACTTTGGAATTCTATGGAAGCTATATTTGCATTAGCACAAATAAGTTTACTAGAGGGCTGTACACAAAGGACAGTGGGAAAATTCCACACACAAAAAAACGTTTGTGCCATCCAACCTTTAATTCTTCACATG